TTAGGGAAGGGCTCTCTCTCCCCTATAAAGAAACAAAAAGGCGTTAGGGGCACAACCACCTCCCTAGCAGTCTCATCTTTCTAGAAACTGGCACAGCTAAGGTGATAAACTACACAGATCAGCCAGTGGGCACAACTCCCCAGTATTTGCTAGTCAAGAGGCCCCTAGAATCACTTTTCTTTCTCAAGTTCACTGTAAATAAGCTGGAGTGGGAGTGACTCATGAAGCCATCCTCCATTCCAGCAAGAGGCTGCTCCCTCTGAAAATCACCACAAATTTACTAAACCCAAGCGTATACTCAGGTGACATCAGGATGCAGTAGTGTGACAACAGTCCTGAGGAATGCGCCTGCTGAGCCATGATGCACTGGTTCGTCTACCAGCAAGGTAGTCATGGAGAGAACCATGACTTGTCTCTGCAGCTGACTCAAACTGTGTGGGCTTTCGCCTGATCCTGCGACACCCTCCCTAGGTGATGACAAAGGATGACAACTCCCAAAGCAAAAGCTCTCCCCTGCATTTCTTTCAACTAACAAGTAGGTGATACATTTCATCTCCCCAAGGAAGCCCACTGGCTGACAAGAATCTAGCCTGTTGTCCTCTCTACAAGCTGGGTTGACTACTTAGACTTTCATAAATCACATGACCAGGTTATATGTCCCCTCTATAATTTCTGCAACCCCCACAAACCCAGTAAGCCATCAAAATCATTCTTACCACCCAAGACACAGGAAATATTTCTGCTACATCTGCAACTATATTCTAATGATTTCTGTCTCCTGAGTCATAACCAATTTATCTGTTCACTCAGACATTTACTGAGTCTTTCATGAGCGACTCTATAGACACAGGGTTGGAAGATGAAAATAGCATCAATCTCTATTCTTGAGAAGTTCACTCTAAAGATTTGCAGGGAATTTGAACCTACAAAGTCTACAGAGTTGGAATTGGTATGATTTTTCCCTTCAAGTTTTCTATGTCATGCCAGTTGAAGGCCACTGTAAAAGTTATAAGGGTCCCAAGTGTAATGCAACCCTAAACAGGGGCCCTGGGCCAAACACTCCATCTAATCCTGTTACCCAATCAGTAAGACCATTAAAATGATGCCATTGGGCAGGATCCTGCTCCCCTGGGGCTGGCCTGAGCTCTGTGTTGGGCTAAGTTGCAAAAGAACATATTCCTGCTTTGACAGGTCCTGGCCGTGCTTCTCAAAATTAATTTCTCCTCTGTGTATATGTATGTATGCATGTATCTTATTTCATATCCCTGACCTCTTGTCTGAGCTTCAAATATCGTACTGCTTACTTGACATTTCCACTTGCACATCTTTAGTATACCTAACACTAGACTCAAGATGGTCTTCCTAAACCCCCACCTGTTCCTCATCTCGTCTTTCCTATCGCAGAAAGTGACACCATCTTCCAGCCAATTGCTCAGGACAAAAACCCGTCTAAACGTTACCCCTGGTTTCCCTCTTACCCTTTACCCTACATTTAAAATGCTGGCAAGTCCTGTTGACTTGATTTTAAAATTATAATCCGATTCCAGCCACTTCTACCTCCTGTGCAAGCACGTGTATCCAAACCAACACCTGGTTACCATAACAGTCTTCTGTCCAGCCTCCTCTGGTTTTGCCCCCTAGAATCCATTTATTGCTACAACCAAAACCCAGTTGCCCTCAAGTAGATGCCAACTCCTGGTGACCCAATGCAAGTCAGAGTAGAACTGTGCACCAAAGGGTTTCAAGGACTCTGGAAATAGATTGCCAGGTCTTCTTTTTGAGGAACTTTTCGGTATATTCAAATTGTCAACCTTTTGATGAGTGACAGCCAAATGTGTTAACCATTTGTATTATAACACATGAAATCCCACACAATTAAAGTCATCTTTTTTTAAAAAAGTAAATTAAGTCATATCTGCCAGATGTGCAGGCTGGATTTAGAAGAGGTTGTGGTACTAGGGATATTAAAGCTAATGTCAGATGGATCTTGGCAGAAAGCAAAGAATACCAGAAGAATGTCTATCTGTGCTTCATTGACTATGCAAAGGCTTTTTTTTGACTGTATGGATCACAACAAGCTGTGGCTGACTCTAAGAAGAATGGGAATCCCAGAACATTTGATTGTGCTAATGCAAAACCTATACTTGGACCAGGAGGCAGTCGTCAGAACAGAGCAAGGAGACACTACATGGTTCAAAATCAAGAGGGGAGTCCGTCAGGGATGTATTCTGTCTCCATACCTTTTCAATCTGTATGCAGAACAGATCATCCGAGACGCTGGGCTATACGAAGAGGAATGTGGCATCAGGATTGGTGGAAGAATCATCAACAACCTGCGATATGCAGATGACACAACCCTGCTTGCTGAAACTGAGGAGGACCTGAGGCGCTTGCTGCAGAAGATCAAGTACTGTACTACAGCCTCCTATATGGACTGAAGCTAAATGTCAAGAAAACAAAGATTCTAACCACTGGGCCAATTGGCAGCATCAGCATGGATGATGAGGAGATTGAGATAGTTAACAGTTTTAATTTACTTGGCTCCACAGTCAACGCTCTTGGTAACAGCTGCCAGGAAATCAGGAGATGAATTGCATTGGGAAAGTCGGCTGTGAGAGACCTCTCAAGAGTACTGAAGAGCAACGACGTCAGGCTGGAGACTAAGGTGCACCTGATCTGGGCTATAGTCTTTGCAGTTACGTGCTATGCATCAGAGACTTGGACAGTGAATAGGGCTGATAGAAAGGATTGATGCCTTTGAGCTGTGGTGCTGGAGAAGAGTGTTGAATATACCATGGACTGCTAGGAGAACAAACAGGTTTGTCCTGGAGAGGGTGAAGCCAGAGTGTTCCCTGGAGTCAAGGATTCTGAAGCTTCGTCTGACATATTTTGGGCATGTTGCAAGGAGGAACTGGTCCTTAGAAAGGGACATCATGTTTGGCAGAGTGGAGGGGAAGCGAAGGAGAGGAAGACCTTTGGTGAGATGGATCGATTCTGTGACTGGAGCGGTGGGGAAAAGTGCGTTTGAGACAGCTAGGTTGGCACAGGATAGAACAGCATTTAGAGTTCTTGTACATAGGGTCGCTATGAGTCGCAAGCGACTCGATGGCACATAACAACAACAACAACAACAAGTCATATCAGTATCTTGACTAAACTTCCCCAAGCCTATCCAATGCCCTTACTGATTAAATCTAATTTTTAAGCATGGACTATAAAGTGCTAGCATGCCTAATTCCTGTTGTTCTCTGCTTCAACTCATTAAACCTACCTCACTAAGGACCCTTCACACTATGACTTTTCTCTAGCCTGCCAATTTCCTTCTTGCCCTTTGTGCTGCCTATTTCCTCCACCTGGAATGCCTTTCTGGTCAAGTGTACATTGTCTGCTCCTCTGCTTTCCTCAGCTTATCTATGTTTTATTTCCTGAGGAAAGGCCATCTTTGACCACTGCAACTAATGTTCTTCTTTTACCATGGTATTCAACTTTATATCCATCACAGTATGTGTCTGGATTGTCTTACATAAATGAACGTGTCCTCACTAAGAATGTAAACTTCATGAAGGAAGGTCTCATGTCTCATGTCTCAAGGTCTAATGGATCCCTAGCAACCAGTAGAGTTTGTTGATAGGGTAGATGGCAGATAGAGACATATATGTATTGATACAACCTGTATTATGAAGATGACCTCGACCTCGCTTGCAGAAAGTGAAGAGGATTCGAAGCACTTGCTGCAGAAGAGCAAAGTCTACAATTTTTGATGTGGATTACATCTCAACACCAGGAAAACAAATATCCTCACTACTGGACCAAAAAGCAACATCATGATAGGGAAAAGACATGTTGTTAACAATTTCATTTTACTGGGATTCACAATCAATATCCATGGCAACAATAGTCAGGAAATCAAAAGATATGCTACACTGGGAAAATATGCTGTTTAAGGGAATCTCTCAAATATTAAAGGGAATGATATCAGGGTAAAGACTAAGGTGCACCTGATGCAAGCCACGGTCTTTTCAATCACTTCCTATGCATCTGAAAGTTGGACAATGAATAAGTATAACAGAAGAAAATCAATGCCTTTGAGTTGTGGAGTTGGAGAAAAGTGCTGAATATCTCATAGACTGTCAGAAGAATAAACCAGTCTGTCTTGGAGGAAGGGTAGCCAGGGAGTTCCTTAAAGAGAAGGCTGGTGAAACTTCATCACACATGCTTTGAGGATGCTGTTCAGGGCAAGGACCAGTCCTTAGAAAAAGGCACAATGCTGGGAAAGGTGGAGAGTCAGAGAAAGTGAGGAAGACCCTCAACAAGATGGGGTGACACAATGACTGCTAACAATGGGTTCAAGCATATCACAGATGGTGCAGGACAGGACAGGGTTCAGATCTGTTGTCCCTAAGGTCAGTATGTCATTGCTGACTCGCGACACACACCTAACAATATGTGTATTTATGTAATATTAAGTAAGTGAATGAGTGAATCCAGCACTTTAAGTCACTCACAAGGCCATGAACCTAAATTCTAAACTTGTATATAAGTTTACAGGGACTCAGAACACAAAAGCCTTAGAGGGGCCCTTGGGGTCCACCAACGGTCGAGGTAAATGGCATCACATTATAGGAGGAAGAAGTGTGCAAAGTGTCACCACCGTGCAATTCAAATTGTGGGTCTTAACCCTGGCTACTCCTTGAATTGCCTGGAGACCTTTAAAAACTTCTAAGGCCAAGACCCCACCTCTAGTGATTCTTACTCAGTGTGGCGGAGTGGATCCCGGGCTCCTAGAGTTTTTGAAAGTTTCCTCAGTGATTGCAAACTGCATGCGGGTGCGAGCGCTGAGTGAAGGGGCGTCGCTCCCGACTCGCCCGGGGAAGAGGTGCGCGCACGTGCGGCCCGGGAGGGACGGTGTACGCATGCGCGGACCCTGCCGTCGGGGTGAACGGCCCCACCACCTCCTTTCCGTGCCTCCCCTCTCTCCCCAACCGCCACAGTCCGGTCACCTGCGTGTTCTCTCCCTCCCGAAAGGCCTGTGCTACCCGCTGCCGCAGGTAAGCGCCCAAGTCCCGGCCTCGTTTGGTCTCGTCCACTGGCCACTCCTCACACAGCTTGAGAAAACGCCGGTAGCGGCTGGCTGCCATCTTGGGTCCCTCTTGTCACCGCTTTCGAGGGAGGGGGCGGCACGGACGTCGCGCGCGTGCGCACTGAGACAAACAAGCTTGCTTCCCCTGGAGGCGGGGCAGGAAGGAGGAACGAGCATGCGTGCTTTTGCGGGGCGCCAGCTGCTCACCGATTGGGGGCGCTGTTCGCCTGTCTGAACAGGGCGAGCTTAATTTAAGCCCTTTTGGAACAAGCCCATCTCCCTGGGGCAAGTCAGACCTAGAGCACCCCAGGGACCGCTTTTGCTTCTCTTTTTTCAATGACTGCACAAGCTCAGGACTGAAAAACCTTCCTCCGAGATCTCTGCTAATTTGCATAAACCAATTCATTTGCATGTAAATACAAGTGGTTATTCAATGAAGATGCGCTTTAATTTAATCACGTATAGTGTCACGAACAGGTTGTTCGAGCCCCCTTTCACCTCACAGCCCCTACTCCCATCACCATCACTTGATAATCCGCCACGATTCCATCCATTCTCCGTGATGTCCTCCTTTGCTGGGAGCTTGTCTTTTTTTCTCCTGTGGCTTTTACCTCTTGAGCCAGGCGCTGTCCCTGAAATTCCCTAGCGGAAACGATAACTGCTGGGTTTGTTCAGCTTGGAAAAACATGTACCAAACCTTTTCTTAAACATCTCCTGATGTGTCATGATTTGGAATATCCCGATTTTTCTTTTCAAAAGATTCTCCCCTTCCAGATTTACCTCAAAAACCCCACTACCCTCCCTTTATGTCTTTCTTGCCCTGCATTCGACCTGTACTGTTTCATAGTTTGCTTCCACCTACCTCCTCCTCATTGAGCCTACTTTCGTATAGAGGAATACAGTCTTCCAGAAGTTGACTATGGAGTTGGGAAGTGACTCCCTAAAAAAAAAAACCGATAAATTTCAAAGTGAGAAGGATTTTATTGGAAGCATTAGGGAAGGCTAAGGTATTCACCACTACCACCAGTTGGACTCCTAGAGTTTTGAGAGCTGGGAGTAGGCCTGCAGTGAGAAGAACAGCTAACCAGGTGAACCAGGTGAGCCCAGAGCAGCAGCACATCTAGGAACTCTCACATCAAATCCAGAATCAGTCACTGGAGGACAGGGTGTCAGCAGCAGTACCATATGACAAGGAGAGCCAGTGGTAATGAAGGAAGATGTTCAAGCTGCCCTGAAGGCATTACCAAACTAAAGACCAGGGACAGTGCCTGGTTTAAGAAGCGAAGGGCAGAAGAGACTAAGGAGGTCTCTATAAAACACAGGTACTGAGCAAAGGAGGACAGCCGCAGGAGTCGAGGGAATACCAATTGACATATTTCAATTGTTACTTTGGGCATGTGGCCAGGAGGGACCAATGTTTGGAGAAAGACGTCATGTCCAGAAGGGCAGAGGGACAGCACAGGAGAGGAAGACCCCAGATAAGATGGACTGATGCAATAACTAAGGGAATGGGGGTAGGTGTATCAGAGTCAGTGAGACTGTCTTAGGGCAGGGCAGGCTTCAGAGCTGTTGTACATGGGGTCGCTGTGAGTCACAGGCTACTTGATGATACATAACAATTGTTGCAGAGGCAATTGTTCAAATGTTACACTTACTAGTGTTGGAGGGCAGCTACTTGACCATTTTGCTGGAAGAGATCTGTATTTATTCCCATTCCCCAAAAAGGTGATCTAATAGAATGTGGAAATTATTGAACAATATCATTAATATCACATGCATGCAAAATACTACTGAAGATCATTTTTTAAAATGACTAGAACAGTATGACAGAGAACTGCCAGAAGTTCAGGCTGGATTTAGAAGAGGCCATGGATAGATTGTGACAGAAAGCAAAGAATACCAGGATGACTGTTTGTGTTTTATTGACTATGAAGGGGCATTACTTTGTAATTTACTTTGTAAGACTGATCATAACAAATTATGACTAATATTGAGAAAAATGAGAATCCCAGAACATTTACTTGTGCTCATTTAAACCTATACCTAGACCAAGAGGCTGTAATGAGAACAGAGCAAGAGAACACTACATGGTTTGAAATTAAAAAAGGTATGTGTCAGGGGTATATTCTTTCTCCATAGCTATTCAATCTATATGCTGAGCAAATTGTTTGAGAAGCTGGATTCAATGAAGAAGAATCTGTCATCAGAATAAGAGGGAGACTCATCAATAACCTACATATACAACATTCAAATGACACAACATTACATGCTAAAAGTGAGGAGGACTTGAAGCATTTGCTGCAGAAGATTAAAAACTATAGTCTTCAATATGGGTTGCATCTCAACATCAAAAAAACAAAAATTCTCACCACTGGACTAATAGGCAACATCATGATAGTTGGAGAAGTGTCATCCATTTCCTCTTACTTGCATCCATAATCAGTACACTTGTACTAGCCATCAGGAGATCAGAAGACATTACACTGGGAAATAAATCAGCAGTCAGGGATCTCTCCAAATTATTGAGGAGCAATGATGTCAGTTTGAGGACTAAGGTGTGCCTGATTTAAGCCATGATCTTTCAGTCACTTGCTGTGCACCTGAGAGTTGGGCAATGAATAAGAATGACAGAAAAGAAGGGTGACCAAAGCGGGCTTAGCCACCACCTCCTCCAGCCACTCCTTTGGGGGAATGGTTGGCGGCAACACGGGCAAATGCTTTAATAAGAAGAATGAACCAGCTCTCCCTCTTGGAAAAAGAACAAGACTTAGAACAAAGATACAAGCTGTTGAACCAGAAATTGTTTGACTGGATTATACTTTACCATTGCTGCTCCTTTTCCTCTCCTGCCTTTCTGGATAATATACAGAATTCCAAAAGAAAGGAGAATTGAGCATTTGAACTATGGTTTTGGAGAAGAGTACTGAATATCCCATTAACTTCCCAAAAAACAAACAGGTATGTCTTAGAGAAAGTGTAGCCAGAGTGCTCCTTGGAGGCAGATGTGATATAGCTTCATCTCACATAGCTTGGGCATGTTGCTAGGAGAGGGTATTCCTTGGAGAGGGGCATCATGCTTGGAAAGGTGGAGTCCGTTGATGAAAAAGAGGAAGGCCCTTTATCACATGGATTGGCAAAGCGACTGCAGCAGTGAGCTCAAGTGTGTCAAGGATTGTGAGGATAGCACAGGATAGAACAGGGTTCAGATCTTTTATTCATAGGGTTGCAATGGGTCATACTCAACTTGAAAGCACCTAATATGGATTGAAGCTCAACATTAAGAAGACAAAAATTCTCACCATTGGGTCAATTTGCAGCACCATGATAGATGGAGATAAGGCTGAGGTTGTTAACAAGTTCACCTTGTGTCCACAATCAACACTCTTGGCACCAGCAGTCAGGAAATCAAAAGATGAATTGCACTGGGGAAGACTGCTGTCAGGACCTCTCCAAAATGCTAAAGAGTAATGATGTCAGTCTGGGGACTAAGATGTGCCTGATCCAGGCCATGGTATTCGCAATTACTTGCTATGTATCACAGAGCTGAACAGTGATAAAGGATGACCGAAGAATTGATGCCTTTGAGTTGTGCTGGAGAAGAGTATTGAACATATCATGGAAACAAGTCTGTATTGGAAAAGGTGAAACCAAATTTCTCATTGGAGGCAAGGATTCTGAAATTCTATCTCACATACTTTGGGCATGTGGCCAGGAGGAACCAATTCTTGGAGAGGGACATCATGCTTGAAACAACATGGGAAATACTTGGGACAGTGCTGGAGAGGAAGACCCTGGATGAGATGGATTGACACAGTAACTGGGGTAATGGGAATAGATGTGTTGGAGTCAGTGAGACAGGCACAAAACAGGGGAGGATTCAGAGCTGTTGTACATAAGGTCGCTATGAGCTGCAGGCAACTCAACTGGCACATAACAGCAGGACATTTAGAGATACAAAGCTGTGGAGAGGACTAGGAGAAGGATCTGGGAGTTCTTCCCGGAGGATGTAGCATTTGAGCTGGGTGGATGATTAGGATTTGGATGAAGGAGGTGGAGGGGCACAGAGTAGCAAGAGCCAGACCTAGGGTAGGAATGAGAGCTAGAAGAGAAGGGAGGAATTTGAGAAAAAACCCCAAAACCAAAACCAAACCCCAAACAAAAGCACACTGGGTAGTTTTAACCTGGTGGAGCAACTGCCAACTTTGAAGGCTTCAGAGTAAAGACTTAGTAAGTGAGGATCTCTGGTCACCCACTGTGTTCCATGCTCACCCAGGGGCATAGGGAAAGTGCAAATTGAGTAGAAAATAGGCTCATCTTCACAGAACTTCTCTACTGAACCCTATCCTCTTCCCAACACAGGAAGAATGCTCTATTCCATTCTCTCCAGCAGCTATATGAAGCTTAGTTTTATGGCAGCCCTGAGGCCTGAAGAACAAGGGTTATATATCTATTTACCATCCAGCTTCAGGTGCCTAGGGCGGTGCTTGGTGCCTGAGGCCTTGTAATTCTGCCTGAGGCCCCATCATAGTAGGGCTTTGATGAGGACCCAGCCAGCAGACAGCATTCTGGGTAGCAGGGATTGCAGTTCCACTGTCTCCAGCCAGAGGAAGGGTAATAATTAGGTTGACAGCAAGTGGTTTTAACCCCACCTGAGACACAAGTGCTCTAGGTTGAGAAGAGCAACTAGACATCAGGGCAATGCCAAACAAATGCCCATTCTGAGCTCCTACCCTCTTGTCCTGATCTGGAGGTTTGCTTGGCATGCTGCTGGAGGAGTGAAGGCTTGGAGTTGGTTAGACCTGGGTTGGGATCTGTGCTTGTTCATTCCTTCATTTGTCCAGGATCATCTGTGTAATTTGTAGGGACCTTGCCTGGTTAATAAGGAATCACTCTGCCAGCCCAAAGGCAGACAGTTCAAATCCACCAGCAGTTCTTTGGGAGAAAGATGGGCAATGTCCTGCGCAAGGTACTGCCCCTGAAAACCTGCTGAATTCTAACTCGATATAATACAACAAGATCCTTTTGGCAATCTAGAGAGGTATAAACTACTAAAAGTGTGAGGCATTATCTTGAAAAATATTAAGGAGGTCAACTTGGCA